AAGATATACCACTAATAATAACTTATTTAATGTATGTACACATGCGTATAAAAATATTCAATAATATTATCTTTCGCATCATATCAAAAGTAATTTTATTTTATAATTACATATCCTAAAATAATTTGTGACATGAATTTAATATTTATATAATTAATTAGGAATAATATCATGATGTATCAAAAAAAGAAAAGGAGAGTTGATATCTAATGAAAGATAATACATATGTAAAATGAAATATGATAATACATTTTGGAAATATTCAAGTTATTTTAAATTTTGAAAAAATGAAACAGAAAAATATGTATATATAAAAGATCGAAATTCTTTCATCTTCATAAAATAAATCCTAAAATATCTAAAAATTTTTGAAATGTCATAAAAAACTTTAATTAGCTTTTATTAAAAAAAACAAAAAAGAGATAAAGATAGAATTTCTAGTCTTTTATCTAAAAGATCAAGTTTCACTAAAGCAAAAAAAAAAACTTCAGCATAAGTAATATTTACTTTAATAACAAAATCAATATCAGCAGTAGCATCAATGTCAATAACGAGAGGAGAGACTGAAATAGAAGATGTGTTGATATTAGATGATGATGAAAGATAAATATCTCCATCATCGCAAGTAAGAAAATAAAGAAAAATGGAAATAGGAAGAGAAGACTAACATTCTAATAGTTATTTTTTAAAAATTTTTATATTAAAATATTTAATAAAAATATTTTACAATGTATAATTTATTTTATTAGAAGAAGAAAAACCATTGACAAGAAAAGAAAAAGATGACCGAATGCTAAATTATTTAAAAAAAATTAATAAGAAAGTTGGAGACCTACAAAAGGAAATGGTTGACATTTGAAAAAAAATTGAAAGTAATAAATTATAGGATAAGATGTATGATCTAACTTTCGTCAATGTAAATAATTTATTTATTTTCTTTACAAAAAAAATTATTTTGCTCATAATATTCTTAATATTCTAAAAAAAAAAAAAAATTGTTAACGAAATTGTGAACAAAATAATTTTGAAAACAATTTATGAACTATGTTATTCAAAAATATCTGGAACTTTTCAAAAATTGGAATGACAAATGCTAGACATTTTATTATGATTTAACTATTTAAAAAAAAGTAAGTTTTATCAAATTACCTTATAATTTAAATGCTCTAATAATTGACAAAAGATTTTGAATTATTTAGTCTTCTGTTACTGTAAAGCATGAATCCTAAAGGATAAATGGGAAACAGCTGTGAAGCGAAACGGAGTATAGTTAACTATTTGATTTTCATTTTATTTTTAACCATCAAAATTTATATCAATTCAATGTTTATTTACAATATAATATTTTCTCGATTTATCCTTATCCACATTAACAAAAAAAATTACTATTTTATAACATATTCAATTTATCATTTACTTCTAACCAACGCATTAATTTTTTGATACCTTTTTTAAAAAAAGTTGGAACAGATTTTATAACTAGAATATATAACAATGGTATCAAAATTCGTATATCAAAAAAGTTGGAACAGATTTTATAACTAGAATATATAACAATGGTACTAAAATTTTGACTACCAAAATTCGTGTACTAAAAAAGTTAGGCCAGATTTTATAACTAGAATATATAACAATGGTACTAAAAAATTTACGATATATTGGATAAAGCTACCAAAAAAATTTTTAATATATAGTTCAAAGGGTACCAAAATTCGTGTACCAAAAAATTTTTGATATATAAGGTAAATATTTAATTTGAACAAAAAAATATTTTATAAGTATTATATATAATATGGTAGTACATACATGCAATAGATGTGATAAAGAATATAAAAAATTAGCTAAGTTACGTATTCATCTTAATTGAAAAAATCCATGTCAATTTAAAATATCATCTATATCATTAATTCCACTACCTAATTTAGAAATAGAATATCTCGATGCATTAGGATTATTTGATTCTTCAGAAATTGCTGAGTCTATTCTATCACCAGAAGCTGAAAGAAAATATCTCGAAGCATTAGGAATATTAGAACCTATTCCGCAATTTCATCAAATGGATATTATTAGTTCAGGATGTGAATTATTAGACGATCATTATTAAGTTGAAATAAGAAAAGAAAGCATATATGCACAAGACCCAATTAATACTCTTGGAATACTTAGGGAGCAAATAATAAATATTTTCAATGACCAATTTGACTTTACTCATAGGTTCAAAACTCGATTATGTCTCACAGGAAAAATGAGTCAATCAACAAATTATCAGTAGGGACTGTTTGAAAATGGAACATTTACAGAAAATGATAATAACGAAAAAGATTATAAAGAAGTTCTGTTCAAAAATAAAGCAATAGTAGTAACCGCTAAAGAAGATATCTCTGAAATTGTAAATGAGCTTATTTGGGATATTGAAAATCGAATAGAAGTATATATTCGTGAAGGTTCGAGTTGGTATTATGAAGAATCAGGAGAAGTAAATATTGAAATGTCAATTTATGTTCCTTTAACAACCAGTTCACACCTTCCTTTATTTAAAGAAATATCAAAACGAAATAATAGAATTATCAATATCAAAAATGAGGATGATCGATGCTTTGAAAGATGTATCCTTGCTGATTTATACCAAGCTCCTCGTCATCGAGAACATTCAAATTGGTATAATCAATATATAGGAGAGTTAAATTTTAACAGAATTTCATTTTCAGTAAAAGCTGACAATGATACAATGGAAAAGTTCAAAAAACAGAATCCCGATATATCTGTATCAATTTATGGATGG